GAGCCTGAGATGGGGATTTTATGCCAGTGACTCCTGGAGATACTCCTGGGAGGAAAACCATGTGAAGAAGGGAGCAAGGGAAGCAGGATGACCAAGAGGAGGGAGCTGGGCAAAGATGTATTAGTTTCAGGATGAGTCTAGCCCCAGCTTCATCCCCTGAGTTACTTTGGAGAAAAGCTGTTTTGTAGAAATTATCCTGCTCAGAGGCAAGGGCACTGGGCCCTTATACACACACCCCCTACACACTTTTTATTGGCCATGAGCTATACCTGACATAATCAACCAAGCCTCTTCCAGTGAAGGGACCTCCTTTGGCCAAGGACAGGCCTTAGGAGAAGCATGTAGGCATGAGCTATTAGCCACTAGCATGCACCACAGCTGGGGTTGGATAAGTCAGCCTGGGTGGAGGCACCAATAGCATCTGTCAGAAGGACATTACCTCCTTGTTATCTCTGCATGATGAGGTAAAAATTCTTTTTCCCTTGTGCACTTTTATAGTTAACAGGTTTCCTGATATTGAGTCATCTTATTTTTGGAACCAAACAAGTCAAATTAAATCCATGCAGTAAAACCATCTGATCAATTGTAGGCAGAAGTAACAGTAAATGACCCCATATTCCTGACCCCCTGCAGCGACCTCTTGACCACACTGAGGAGATGGTTCTGCTCACTGGCAGTGCCAGGCCCCAAGCTAGGCCCTGGTTCACTGCTTATGACCAGGGCTTTTCTTGTTTATCAGGTTCAGTATGGGCTTCCCAGATGGCTTGGTGGTAAAGAATCTGCCAGCCAGTGAAGGAGACACGGGTTCAATCCCTGGGTTGAAGATCCCCTGGAGTAGGAAGTGGCAACCCACTCCAGTATTCTTGTCTGGAAAATTCCATGGGCAGAGGAGCCTGGTGGGCTACAGCCCATGGTGTCGCAAAGAGTCAGACATAGCTGAATGACTGAGCATGCACACATGCATCAGGCTCCGTGGGCCAGTCATTGAGCTCTTCACAGACCCTGCTTGTGTGACTCATAGATCAAGAATGTAATTAATATGGCTAAGAGAGCGGGGGACCTGAGGAGACAAGGCAGCTGGTGTTGGACCTTAATAAGAAGTGCAAAGTGACATGCATGCTTAATCACTTCAGTTGTGGCCGACTCTTTGCGACCTTGTGGACTGTAGCCCACCAGGCTCCTCTGTCCATGGGAATTCTCCAGGAAAAAAAATACTGGAATGGGTTGCTATGCCCTCCTCCAAGGAATCTTCCCAACCTGGGAATCAAAACTCACATCTGCCTGCATCTCCAGCATTGCAGGCAGATTCTTTACCCTCTGAGCCACCTGGGAAGCCCACGTGCTGAACATATTAGAACCTTAATATATGTTGTCTTGTTTAACCCTTACAACAGCCCAGGAAGTAGGAATTATTCTTCTCATTTAATCATTGAGGAAGTCCCTAGACTGAGGATTAGGAAAGAGCTCTAACTTTTGTTCAGCCACCAATGAAAACTGAAAACACTAGACCAAATGAATTGCATTTCTAGGAATCCTGAGGCTCAGCAGAGATGCCCAGGGAGTCAGTGGGCCGCTGCAAGGGAAAGACTGACCTTATGTACTCCAGCCAGAGCAGCTCTGCCTCGGTCTGTCTTGTATGTTGTCAGGACTGGCTTCCTGGGTGTGCCACCAGTGAAGCCCCACAGGGCCTGCCAGGTTCAGAAGGGGCCTGTGCTTAGGATTTAATGCCCTGCAGGTGCCATCTTGAAATCCTTAATAGCTTTGTCTAAATTTGTGTTTTGTAAGTGAAATACCGTGGAACAGTGGAACATGTGCCAGGGGCTTGGAGCTCTGACTTGTGCTCAGTCCCCCTTCCTGTTGCCTCTCTGCTTCTATGTTCACTGTCTGCTCTTGGCCAGGTGCTTTTTTTGTTCCCCGGTCCATCACACGACAAATAAGTGGTCCTATGTGCATGATTAACACCCAGCTCCCAGCACTTGTAACTCACGTCATGAGTTTGACAGCACTGAAACTGGTCTATACCCTCTTCAACCAGGCAAGTTCAGTTGGACAAGTTCACCCTTGGATGTTCCAGGGATGTCAGATTGTCATTTTTTGTTGTTGTTCCGTCGCTCAGTTGTGTCCAACTCTTTCAGACCCCATGGACTGCATCATGCCAGGCTCCCCTGTCCCTCACTATCTCCTGGAACTTGCTCAAGTTCATGTACGTTGAGTCGGTGATGCCATCCAACCATCTCTTCCTCTGTCGTCCCCTTCTCCTCCTGCCCTCAATCTTTTCCAGCATCGGAGTCTTTTCCCGTGAGTCGGCTTTACGCATCAGGTGGCCAAAGTATTGGAGCTTCAGCTTCAGCGTCAGTCCTTCCAATGAATATTCAGGGTTGATTTCCTTTAGGATTGACTGGTTTCATCTCCTTGCAGTCCCAGGGACTATCAAGAGTCTTCTCCAGCACCACTATTTGAAAGCATGCTTCCATGCTCAGCCTTCTTTATGGTCCATTCGTACATTTCCAAATGCTTGTGTTCAGTTCTTATAGTTATCCCACAGCAGACCAGTAACAACAGTGGACCATGATGAGAAGCTCTGCTTCAGACTCTTCTGTGGGTGCCGGGATCCTGGAATTACCCGTCCAAATCACACAGACCTGCGTCCAGGGTCTTCATGGGCCTCTTCACCTAAGTCATTCTCCTGGTTTGCATTTCCCTAGGCCAAGGGGCAGCTGTTTGCAAGGGGCGGTAGGGATGGAGATTGAATATGTATGCTGGGGTGTCTGTACATATGCGTTTGAAGCACTGCTGATCCAGGATGGAAGGAGTATGGGAAGAGAAGGGGGTCAGGCTGCCAGCTGGTGGAGGAAGAGGAGCACAAAAATTTGGGGTGAGCCCAGCTGAAGGAATCCAGCCATTTCTCGACACATCTGGAACTTATCCAGAGTGCCTGCCAGTCAGGAAACTTTCGACCAGGCATCTTCCATTTTGACTTACAGTGTTTTGAATTTGGATTTCTGTCCATGGTTATGGTCAAGAGCCTTCTAGCACTTTGCAGAGCGGGTGGGTGGCACGTGGACATGTGCGTCCTTCAGATCCCTACCTTAGCTGCACGGAGACTGCAGCATCATAAGCTCTGCCCCTCCCTCTGTTAGTGTATCAGATACACGGCTTCTGATGCCTGCCTCGTGCCAGATTTCTCAACACTCTGGGAAAGGATTTTGTTTATTTCCCTTAAGTTTGAAAGCAATGCTTGGCTAACACCCCAAAAGTAAGACAGGCAAATGACTCAAACATTTAAATACACACACATACACACAATTAGCCAGTAGGCATATAAGTAATATATCTCATGTTTATGTTTTATTTGTAAAGGATATTATGAATGATCCAAAGAAACAGCTGGATAAAGAGGTACACCGGGCAAGGTCTGAAAGAGTTCTAAGCACAGGAGCGTCTGAGCTGTGGAGTTGGGGTATGCCACTCTCCCAGCACCTGTATGCTTTCACCAACCTGGAAGCTCCCCCAGACACTGTCACATAGGGATGTTTAGGGAGGTTTGATCATGTAGGCATCGTCAATTCCTAACTCAAGTCTCCAATCCCTCTCCCCTCCCCAGAGGTTGAAGGTGGAGCTGAAAGTTCCAAGCTCCTACTCAAGGTCAGGTCTTCCTGGCAACCAGCCCTCACCCTGAAGGGGGCCACCTAGGGGGCCACCAGGAGTTGCCTCCTTATAACAAATAATCCTCCTCTCTTTCCTGTCACACATGAAATTCCAAGGGATTTGGGAGCTCTGCGTCATGAAGTGTGAGCAAATACAAAATGTTGTCACAGAAGGTGCCGCTGTCACCCGTTCTTACTCAGGAAATGACAAGGGTTTTAGGAACTCTATGCCGGGAACTGGGGACCGAGACCAAATGTGTATTTCTTTTTATATCACAATGTCCTCCCGTCACAGACCGCTCCGTCATTGCTGACTGTCCTTGCAGGAATGGAATGACTAACCTGCCTGGCTGCCCTTGGCCTCCCCGTGGCCATCACAGCCGCTGCTGTCTTCCTGGCTCCCACTTGCCACCCCCACCCCCAATGCTCCCTGGACCACCTTTTGTCCTTTCAATTAAATACTCTTTATCCACGAATTCCTCTCTGTGGTCCTCCTCTTGCTTTTCTTTTCTCTTTCCCTTTTTTGGCCTTGCCACACAACTTGTGGGATCTTAGTTGCCTGACTGACCAGGGATTGAACCCTTGCCCTCAGCAGTGAAAGCTTGGAGTCCTAGCCACTGGACCACCAGGGAATTCCACCCTCTTGCTTTTTACTGAGGCCGTATTTAAACTTCATTCTGTCATTTCTTGGCCTTCCCTGGGAGGAACCACATACTCAGTCCAACACCTTGAAATGGAATTATGTAAAAAACAATGTGTTACCTTCAACACATTAATCCCACCTTTAGGAATTTATCCTATGAGATAATTAAGAATAAAACTTTAGCCCCACTGGCTTTCATCACTGTAACATTTGATATGAAAAGGTAAAAATAAATATCCAATTAAAGGGCATTAGTTAAATAAATAGTGACACATCCATACAGTGACAGACCAGACAAAGTGTATGAAAAATAATGACAGAATACTTAAGGGTGTGGAAAAATGTCATTGATGTATTATGAAGTAAAAATTTGAGGTTACGAAATTATTTTAAAGTCTTATTTTTGTAAAAACAGGGGCTTCTCTGGTGGTTAAGACTATGGGCTTTCAACACAGGGGTTACAGGTTCGATCCCTGGTCAAGGAAATAAGACTGCACATGGTGTGCCATGTGGTCAAAAATTATTTTTCAAATTTTTTTTTTAAAAGAAGAGGGAAAAAAAACCCGGTGCATGTTCTTATAGAAAATGTAGCTCTGCATGATGGGATTTCTGGGTGACATTTATTTCTTCATTTCTGCTGTCTTGGGGATTGTTTGCAGCAACTGCCATGGGCAAGACTCTAGTCCCAGGCCCTGCTTCCCTCCCCACAGGTGTGCTGGAAGATGGCGTGACTTCCAGTGGCGTGACCTCCAACGGCGTGCCCCGATCGACAGCCCCGAGTGGAATATCCAACCCAGAGAAGAAGATGAGCTGTGGGACCCAGTGCCCGAACCCTCAGAGCCTCAGCTCGGGCCCCCTGGCCCAGAAACAGAACGGCCTCCGGACCGCAGAGGTAGGTCACGGCCACAGAACAGGCTGGGGACCGGAGTCAGGGGGGAGAAGCTTGCTTTTGGGCAGAGCCAAGCTGAGGCTGCGCCCACGGAAGCGGCCGTGATGGCTCACCTTGCCAAAGGAAATTCTCCACCCACCCGTGTGAAAATCGTTGCAAAGAAAACAGCACGGCCCCACCTCCCACCCCCTGCCTTGAGGGCTGCTGTGTTTGGTTGAATCAGCGGAAATGGGTCCTTGATATTTGCGCTCTGGAGGAAGTGTGTGTTTGTTTAAATACAGCTCTGTTCAAGGGTCTCCTTTGCTGTCGCATCTTGATAGTGAGGACCGTACTGGTCGCAGGAACTAGTCTCGGGCCAGGCAGTCAGCCGTCACAGGGCTTGGCAGGGAACGAGACCAGAGCCCGGCATGTAGGAGACAGGCCTGGCGTCTTATCTCACCCTCCTGCCAGGCGGGCCGCAGGAGGGTCCCCAGGGGGGCTCCTGCTGTAGGATGTGGTGACGGCGTCACCCCACACTGTTGCTGGTGGAGATGGAGTGGGGCTGCAGACCTGGACCCAGCTGGCGTCCTCTCTGACTCTCTCTTTTCTCTCAGAGCCATTCTGGGGAAGGACTCCCCCTGCTGCTCCTGGGCTGCTCCTTAGCAGGCCAGCACGGGGGTCTGCAGCCTTTCCCCCCGCGCCCCCCACTCCCCCGTCATCCCCATAACCCGCTTCAAAGTCCCCTGCTTACCTGCTCGCCCAGTACCTGTCTGTCCCGTCTCCTCTGTCAAAACTCACCGCTCCTGTCCCTCTGCCCAGTGCCGTCCATTGTACGTCTGAAGATCCGACTGGATTCTCCAATGATAGAATTCGGGCCCACATCAGTGAGTTGCCTCTCTAAGCTTTGGTCAGAAAACCTGTTGCAAATTTAGCTCCAATACTCCTAGACTAAGTGCTTCGAAGAAATCACGCAGTCTCCCAGAGTCTCAGGTTCCTTATCCACACAACGGGAATGATACAAAATGAGACAACAGATGGGCCTGCTCTTTGGGAACTGAGAAGTGCAGTGAGAAAGGCAGTAAGGATTCATTTTAACAGGGGCTGGTTAGACACCCTGCACCGTAGCCCCACGAAAGCAAACGCTGATGGTGGTTCTTCAGACACATAGAGGGTCATGGGTCGGGGGTAGATTTGAGGGCAGTGGGAGATTTGAGGATCCTTCCTGGGGTCCTGTGTGGTCTGCTTTCTTCGTGCATAAGCTGACCTTCTAGAGGCCCAAGCATCATTGCCGTCTCCCAAGGCGGTCTGGGTCCCACAGAACGATGCCCAGAAGCTGCCACTGCTCTAGGGCAGGCTCTTACTTTTGTTCCCCAGCCTGCTTCCCACACCGCACCCTCGCCTTTTGAGCCTGTAACAGTTGAGTCAGTAACATTAAATTGAAACAACTGACTATAAGAAAAGTAGAGCAGAGAGATCTCAAAGTCCTTTTTTTGTTGAAGAAAAATGTATTAGTCCGCTATTGCCACAATAATGCTGCATGACAAAGCAAATCAATATTCAGGGGCTTAAAACAGCAATCTTTCTCCTTGCTATCAACCACAACTTGAATAGCTAGACCTGACTTCAGACCCCAAGTCTAGCTTAGTCTGTTCTGTGTGTATAACTCTGGGAATCAGGCTAAAAGAGCATCAGCTCGCTGAGGTATATTATGGCTGTGGGAAACCCAGGAAGGCAAGCCCATTTCATGTCACTGCTCCCGTCAGACCATCTGACCTCCTACTGGTAACACAGACAAACCCAACATCAGCAAGACAAGGAAGTGGAGTCTGTCTGCAGTGGATAGACAGCAAAGGATTAGCAATCTAGTACATACAGCGTACATACAGAAAAATGTACAAGTCAGTCCTAAGTTCGATGCATTTTAATAAGGGGACACACATGTAACCATCATGTGTAAGGAGACAGAGAACAGTGTCATTACTCCAGATATCCCGTGTGCCCCTCACCATAGGGACTTGGATGTACCAGTCACCATCCGCCTCCACAAGATAAGCACTCTCTGACTTCTATCATTAGATATCAGTTTTGTTTATTTTTGACTTTTATAAATGGAATCATATAGTATGTGCTCTTTTGGGTCCAGCTGTTTTTGTTCAGCATTATGCTAGTGGGAATCATCCATGGTGTTATGAGTTGCAAAAATTTCCTCATCTCCACTGCCATGTAGATTCTGTTAAGTGAATACACCACAGTTTAAGGACATTTGGGCTGTTTCTAGTTTAGGGCTGTTGTGAACAACACAGCTGTTAACATTCTTTTTTTTTAATTAATTTTTATTAGAGTATGGTTGCTTAACATGAATGTTATATATATTACACATATATTTATTCTTTTTTGTATTCTTTTTTTCTTTTTGGCCACATCGTGTGGGGATTGAACCTGTGTGCCCTGCACTGGGAGCTGGGAGTTTTAACCACTGGACCCCCAGGGAAGTCCCAACTGTTAACATGCTTGTGTGCTTTGGTAGACATTCCCTTCCCTGGGGTATGTACCCAGAAGTAGAATTCCTGGCTCATAGGATGGGTACATATTTGACTTTAATAGATACTGACACAGTTTTCCAAAGTGGTTATATCACTTAACATGCTAACTGGCTGCCGATGAGTTCCCGTTAGGGACCATAAGAATGTAAGGCCAGTAAGCTGTGCTTCGTCCCATCTTTCTTAGTCTTTTACATGCAGCCTGGGGTCTAAGCACTTCATCATATCATTGATCCTCAGAGTGTGGATACTGTTGTCTCCAGTGTACAGATAAGAATGGAGCCTCGGGTGCTTCAGGAAAGCTCTCCCCACTGTGTGGGAGTTAAAAGGGGGCCGGGTAGAGTCCGCCCTCGAGGCTCCAGCCGCACTGAAAACTGTGTCGCTGGGCGTGAGGACCACACACCTGACCAACGTGACCGACCCAGCACTGGGGAGGAGATGGCGCGCACTGATAAGCCCAACACACAGCTTTTGTTTTCAGATTCAGTGAACAATGGTGTATACTAAGTATTTCCAAAATAAGATCAAGGAGCAGATAGCTTCAGACAATTGCTGAAGTGCATCAGCGGTCTTCCTGTCCTGAGACCTCCTGGGCCACCAGGTGTCCTGACCTCTTCAAGGGCAAAGATTTCTACCAAAGGGGTCAGTTACAAGACAGGCCCACCTCTGATTGAAGCTTCTGTTAACACAGCGCTCAGCTGCCTAGAATATGCTTTTTTTTTTAAAAAAGGATTGGTCTTCCCTGGTGGTCTAGTGGTTAAGAATCTGCCTGCTAATGCAAGGGACACCAGTTCGATCCCTGGTCCTGAAAGATCCCACGTGCCAGAGAGCAACTTAAAGCTTGTGTGCCTCAATGACTGAGCTGCTGTAACTGGAGAAATCCCGCACGTAGTAACAAAGACCCAGCACAGCCAAAAAATACACACACAAAAAAAGTCTTTTAAATAAAGAAAACGATTTTCTTCCTATTCCATCTAGGGCCTTTGACACACCATCTCTTCCTGGCGTGTCTCCTACTCCAGGCTAGAGCTTCCTGCATTTTCTGTGTCTGGCACAGGCAGTACCCACTGGCTTGTTCCGGTTGCCTTTGGCTCCCCAAGATCACCTAGTACTTCACAGCGTTCCCCTGGACATCATCAGGTCACCAGCTAATGGTTCTTGGGCACTTTTTTAAAGCTCCCCTTCTCCAGAAGAACCTGTTCATGAAGCATGCATCATCATGCCCATGTCTGCTCAGTGTTCCCCTTCAGATTGACAGACCATCTTTGTGGGTTAAAGGCAATCCTCACCCGGTGTGGAAAATTTCCTTGTTGGGTCGTGTAAGAACGTTTTGGATTCATTCATCTGATGCTCACCCACTGAGTGCTGTCTGGATGCCAGGCACTGTTCTGATGCCAAGGGTCCAGGAGTAGAAGAGGCAGCTGCTGCTTTTAATGGCACTGAGCCTGGGCAGGCAGATAATACAGGGTAAATGAACAAAGCCTTACGTATTTGAAACGGTGCTGTGAAGGAAATGAAAGGTCACTGGTAGGGGATGGTAGTTCAGCTCAGTTCAGTCGCTCAGTTGTGTCCGACTCTTTGTGACTCCATGGACTGCAGCACGCCAGGCCTCCCAGAGCTTACGCAAACTAATGTCCATTGAATCAGTAATGCCATCCAACCGTCTCATCCTCTCGTCCCCTTCTCCTCCCTACTCGATTTAATGTAGACGTAATCCCACAGTTCACATCACTTTCCAAAGGGTGATGGGGGCAGCTGACGCCTATGAGCAGCAGCACCTCGAATTCGGAGCCCTGCTTCAATCCACGCCCCATCAGACCAAGCACAACTTTCTTTCAGTTCGCTCTGGCCTCTGTCTCATGCCTGGTGTTAATAGGTGATAACTGGCAGAAAGAATGTGACAAAAGTGATGTTTCACGAGTTGGAACTGTCTTGGTGGGGCACTCTTTCTTTATTAAACCTTGATTTGCTCCAGTCACCTGGGACCTTTTTGAAGAGCAGCTGATAAATCATCGACTGTCTCCTCCCCACCCCTTCCCTGAGCCCAGCAGACAGCACAAGGGGAAGCTCTGTAGCTGCTTGTTCTCTCCTGCTAATGAATTGCTCAGGAGCTCAGGGCCACCTCCAGACATGACTCTCCAACCCGTTTCTTCAGGCTGAGGACTCCTGTTTTCCTCCTCCAGAGCTGTTTCCTCAAGTATTCAGCTAAGGTAGAGAAGTGAATATGGATGTAGCTCTGGGCACACGAAACTCTGGTCTGTGGCCGGCCTCCCAGTGGAGCCTTCACATCCTCAGAAGCTTCATCCTTTTGGGATGCTTTATTATTATTGGCAGAGTGGCCAGACCTTGCCAAACAAACTAGCCGATACCTGCGCTGGTTCTCGGCTAAGCAGCTTCTCCCTTCCTTGCTCCCAGCCCCCTCCTCTCTTCAGTTGCAATTGTCAGCAAGGCTCGGCATGGTCCAGGAAAGGTAGGTGACGCCTC